ACTTATTACTGAGGACAGTTATTTCATCCTTCGTAGATACTTTACTTAAACCCCAGTATCGCACTAAAGCCTTCGCCTTCCGCTATTTTAAGGTCTGCTGTGGCCGGTATGCAAGGGGGCATATGTTGGAGCATTTTTCCGCTACACGCCATCCGATTGTTCTGAGCTTCGCTGATTTGTCGGCTTGGTGCTACATCTGCAACAGTTATGTGCATAATGAGGTACGTCAGTTACTAGCTCTCTTTAAACCCCACCGGTTCTTTTTGAACTACAACTTCCTACTTAACGTTGATTATCATTTGATGTCAGCTTACCAATCGGTGATCAGCTTGAAAATATCTCCGTAGCCGATTTCGTTCTCGTCATGTAATAATATACACGTAATTATTATATTAATTTTGGTTTAAATTTTCTATCTCACGCCGCATGGTGGCGTGTAAATAATCTCTTTTTTAATATTCTTTGTGTCACTGTTTTTCATCCGTTATTTTCGTAACCAATAGGAAGTTCAGAGGCGCTTGCCTATCACTCCCTTCAATAAACTGAACTAAACTGCATCCTTGCAACTTTTGGACGCTTAGTCGTAGTGTTTATCGTGATGGGGCAATGCTTAGTCGCTCCTTATATTAGCGTCAGATTAGCGAACGAACGCGACGCTAGGTTCTGAATGCAGGGGTTGTGGGGTTGATTTCAAATTCAATGTATATATCGATGACCTATTGTATAACCACTAAAAAATCGGCGCAGTACTTGTTGGACTTACATGTGATTCAGGACTACCATGAGTACGAAATACAGCTTCCTGAAAATTTCGCAGTCCTCAGCATTTTAAGTCCAGTCAACTGACCTTTCTAGTATTTATCCAAACAGTTACCTGGACCAGTGGCTAATTTAAAACGAAACTATAAGCCGTCAATTTAATCTGAAGATGCGGTAGATGTTACATGTCATGAAATGTGTTTTTGTTATAAAGTTGTGTGTAAGAAGAGTTGTAATACTGATTATCATGCAATATTTCAGTCAACTTTTCAACGAGCTTTGTTATGGTTACCTATAAAAACCGCCTTCGGCAAAAAAACGATTCTGCTTAAGAAATATACCTTTCCTCACATTGCCTACTGGCGTGAACGCATTTACGAAAACTTAGAAACTTGAACGGCATTAGGCATATTTAAGGCCTAAACGAAGTATAAGAATTTGTTAGTTTTTGTTAAGTTGAAAACTTTACGTAACCACTTTCTTGGTATAAAATGAACTTTCGTTTAGTCAAAATTTTTGTACATATTACCATTAATGGATAATTATTTATTTAATATCGTCCTTTAAATTCTGGTATAATGTCTTGCGTTCACAGTGTCTTCTTTGGTTGATCCCTCAATTGATCTTCTGTTCGACGTTTACATCAAACCTTTTAAAATAATATATACATAAGAAGCATTTACCGAAAAAAATGAGTTTTTAAATATTAGTTCTAATGAAGATGCGTGTCATATTTAGAAAGGCCTAAAAATAGCAAACCGCATTGTCGAGAAAAAATAACGTCCGCAACAGAATTCTGATATCGTTATTCCTAAGATTAATAAAAAGAGTTATATCCTAGGTTACCTTCTTAAAAGTGCTTTGATTAAATATTCAGCTGACGAATATCTGTGTATATTACCTTTTTCCGAGGTAATGTCAAAATGAAATTGGAGACTTGACAATTTTTTTTAAATGTACCTGAAGGTAATCAATTCACTTTGACTGGAGATAGAAGAACTTACTTTTCTCATTATAATGGATTATTTTCCACCATAGTGGATTACTCCCAGGATCTGTTATAAGCTTGCGAATGCAAAAAAGAGTGGCCATATATATGAATACTTTTGAAATAATTGTTATTCTTCTGTCTGTTCCGTTTCTAAATAACGCATAAGCGGAACGTATAGTTTGCAAAGAAGTATATTTTTACATGACTTATATTTAATAAGGTCTGTTTTACATTACCTTTACGGCAAAATATGCGGACACTTTCATTATGTGCCATATAAGTTGATTCGGTAAAACAAAATGCGATTGAAACTTTTTACTGCATTTTGTGCGAAAAAACTCCACACTTTAGTTAAACATAATTTTTAGAACATAAATCGTTCCTTGTTTCTGAAAATTAACGCGATTACTTCAACTTGGCTTTACTTGCATCTGAACAATTTCGGACGAAATTATCCAGTTCTGAAATAGATACGTTTTACACTTTTTTACTTATTTTGGAGTTCCTCCATAGCATAATGCACATTAATAAACAAATATGAGACTACTCCCAATTTCGCCAAAATTATTGCCCATTTCTATCAGTTAACCTAACTAAGGTGACGATTTTCCTAACTAAAAGGCTGTCCCAGGATTAAATCCACTCAATGATAATATGACCAAATATATGCTAAGCTACCAAGTCAATGTTCGTCAAGAAAGTTGCACATTTCTTAGCCCATATCGTACTTTTTCGAGTACAAACTTAAAAGAAGGCCTACACTTCTACCAGTCGACTTCAAGAAAGCATATTTTTTAATGTTTCCTGTAAATTATTTATGAATTTATAAGGTATAACAATAAATGTGAAGAAGCCATACTACGTAAGTAGTTATTTTTACCGGGAGAAGTTTTTACAGGCGGTCGAAAGAAACTCACTCAAAAGCCGCGATCTTAACTTGACTAAACTCCATTGGGATTATGGTGCATGATAATTAGTATTGCAACTTCACCTAATAAATCCTTGATTCAACACAAAAAAATCAGAATCTCGGTTAATACTTCACGAGGTAGACCAGCAACTGCATGACAGAAACATAATAGACAATATTCTGGGACGCCAAGTGATGAATTGAAACCCTCGCATTTGCTCCAGATATCGGCAGCAACTCGAGCAGGCAAACGTCCAGGCTTTAAGCCAACACTTGCGTTAGGGCGCTGCCTTAATTTGATTCCCATTCAAGTAGGGCTGAAACCATAAGTCTCTCGATTTCCGCATTTCGACACATGGCAAACTTGGCTAAGTAGGTTCATAATCTTAATCCGAAATATATTCGGTGCTAGCTTAAACTGTTGTCCCTTTTAGCGTTCGTGAAACACTTGCAATGCACAGAACTATAAGCTTACTTTTTGCACTTTGTGTCCTTTTATGTGACGCTAAGAGCCTTGTTATTCCATTCCTTATGTTTAGGTACAGAGGTTACTCTATCGTGTCAGTTGTGCCTATTGTGCTTACTCCTCTTTCGGTCTGTTCTATTTTTAACTAAGCATGCTTCCTGGCAAACGTTGTATCTCAATCTTATCTCTAGACGTCTCTTTATTCTTGCTGACGTTATTATCATCGGCTCTGATTGCTGTGACTGACTCTTGGTATCTGTTGTTACGCAATGCCATCATCTTCTCGTGGCTGATTTCGAAGTGCTCTGTGAGTAACGCTCACCGATCTGGCCTCACTAGGATACATACCACTGAACCGCCGTTTTATCCATGATTTTTCTGATAGAGTACTCTGCTCAGTAACCAATTCCACTGCTATTCGAACCTCTGGTATTTTTGATCCCACTGGTTTGTAACGGCAAGTTAGCTGAAGTGTGTATTCCAACTCCTTTTTTGTCATTTTGCCAATTGCTTCCTAATTAAAAATTACTCCTTTCTTTTTCACTGTAGGTCCTATTAGAGGCCAAACGAGCAGCCCATCTGGCCAAGTTTGGTGAGAGAATGCCAACCTAGTTTTTTTTTTCTTCGACGTGAGATGTCGTCTCTCAGGAACTTCAAGAGTGTTCTGCCGATTTTGTGTTATTGCAAAACACCTCCGCGTGTCTTGATGCTCCGTTCTGTGACTGAGATACGCGTGTGTTTCGTTAGAATCACTCATTTCTGGTGTTACCCGTGTTCCGTTGGCCGGAACTTGCCAATTTTTTTTTACATGAAGTACATACATTCTCCGAGTGTTCGTCTTCTGCCATTGTTGTTTTCATGTTCACGGTTTTTGTTCTTCCCAATCCAGCCGACTCTTGACCACACTTCCGTAAACAGCATGACTTTGCGATAAGGGAGTCGGTCTCTCCTGTATGTTCCTACTTGTTCGCTTTATCCCTTGTTTGGTCAACCTTAATTGAAAAGTGCGCGAAATCGCCCGTACTGAATAAATGGAATAGTCCCATCCTAGTTCTACTAACAGAAAGGTTATAATTGATGGCGTCTGGGACTGTTTGTTTTTTTTAAGGAAAAGTTGCGGTTAGTATTTAAATTATATTCATTTTTAGAAACTCAGTGGTTGGCCTATATATTTAGGATAAGCGAGCACCAAACGCTTAATTACCGACAATCGATTATGCCACGAGAGTTCAGTGATCTCAATCCACTGCAGAACGTGAGAAGGGATTTACGTTTGACTTTAGAACCCCCTGTTAGAGCGTTCGCAGACAGTTAACTTAGAAGCAGGCAATGAAGAGAGAAGAATTACTTCCAGAGTCCAGCGAATTAGAAATGATTGTTTTAGTTTATTAGTTGCAGGTCTGATATTTTAGTCCCAGTCAGTGGGTTTTGAGCTGCTCCTTAGTAGACAATCGCTTCCGAGGCCTCCAGACAAGCACCGTAATCAAGCTGAACAGCCGTCTGCCGCCATCTAATCATTTTGAATTGTTAAATGCCATATCCAGATGACTTTGCGTATTACCTGGCAGCGCACAGGCCTACTGCCCCAGTAGTGGAACGTTAAGCGTAAATCCTACCTGGAGTCAACTTTCGGCCTAGTGTATTTCAGGCTGACGAGAGCAAGTAGGCCATTTACCCTTGGGTTCGGTGCTAACGATCAAAACGAGTTAATCCTTGGCTTCAAAGTTTATTAAATCGCTGTATGATGTTATCAAGTTTATTCCTGTAAGCCAGTACATGCAGTGCATAAATTCATGCGGAGTCTGACACGGGGCTAACTTGGGCTAGGAACCCCAGCACTAAAGGCTAAAATCTCAGCGATAATATCCAAAACCCCTTGATCGCTCTACATTTTAGTTTGACACGTTGTGTTATGTTGGATAAGTGTTGTGTTATTTCCGTATGAGCTAGTGTTCATGGGTTTCAATAAGGTTTTGTTCGATACATACCTAAATAATATATGAGTCCGTTTCCACACGGTTTAAGATCATTTTTGACGGCGTCGTCTGGTCTGACATGTTCTAATGCACATGCAATGCCAATATCGATGCCCAACGAGCTTCTCGTTCAGGCTGTCCTTCTGATTGCACTATCGCTAACTTTACACTAGTCTTCGGGCGTTGAAGTTGAATGGATACGCGAAAAGCCGCCGAGATATGAAATTTGCGTCGGCCTAATTCAC